GTTGATGAGGAATATGAAGTGAAGAGAACTCTATTTATAGAAAAACTTTAGGTCAAAAATTAAATATGATTCATCTATTTTTGGCAAGATTTATACTGATTGAGGCTTGATTGAAATTTGGAGAATAAGATTATGAACCTAAGCACTTTTATGACTTTTTTCAATATTATCTTTAATCAAAAGTCTTGTAAAGTTGTCAGTTAGAAGGATGGCTCTATTTTGTTCAATGGCAAGAGGAAGAACAACACCTATAAAATTAGACTTTCTGATCTTAAAGAAAAAAAGTTAAATGCCTTATGTCTGTCAATAAAGAACAATGGGTGTGGTACATATGATTGAGCCATGTTAGAATGAGAAACATTTCTCAGTTAAATAAGCTTGATTTAGTCAGAGGCCTTCCTAAGCTGAAGTTCTCTCCAGATTCTCTTTGTGAAGCATGTCAGAAAGGTAAGTTTTCTAAAACTTCTTTTAAACCAAAGAATGTCATGTCTACCACTAAGCCTTTGGAACTCTTACACATTGACCTCTTTGGACCAGTGAAAATTGCTTCTGTCAATGGTAAAAAATATGATTTAGTCTTTGTTGATGACTACAGCAGATGGATATGGGTTAAATTTGTAAGACACAAGGATGAGCCTCATTATGTGTTTTCTACTTTCTACTCTCAAGTGCAAAACGAGATGGATTCTAAAATTGTTAAAGTCAGAAACGATCATGGTGGCAAGTTTGAAAATAAGCTTTTTGAAAATATTTTTTCTAAAAATGGAATCTCTCATGATTTCTCCTACCCTATAACTTCACAGCAAAATAGATTTGTAGAGAGGAAGAATAAGATTTTGCAAGAAATAGTCAGAACCATGATCAATGAGACTAATATGGCATAGAGCTGTCAAAATGGACTACCTGACTCTAAAAGAGTCGGCCCTAATGGGCCTGGGATTTTTATAGATGGGCCAAAAAATCCCTATTGTAATATGGGCCTCAAAATTACTATCCGAGTCCGGCCCTAGATTGGCTTCGGGCTACCTGACCCTAAACGGGTATTTTTTTAATAAATTAATTAAAATAAAAAACCCACAATATTTATTATAAATAAAATAAAATTTTATATTATTTTAAACATGGTACATTTTTAAGTATTGTATTATCTCTTACAAATACTATAATATGTTTTAAAATACAATGCATGTCTAAATTGTAGAAAATAATACTCAAATATTTAACATAAGAAAAACTAATATAATAAAAGAAAAGAGTGTTTATTATATTAATGTATAATAATTAAAAGAGAAATATTGAATAGAATAGAGATAAAATTTAGTGAAGTGGAAAAAATCAATGTGTTATTTTGGAGTAACACAATATAAGAATTAATATATTTTTAAATGTTATAGCTACGCAGCTCTAATAGGCTACCAACGGCCCATGCGGGCTAGCCCTAATGGGTAACGGGATTTTTAGGGCTGGGATAAAAACACCCTAAAAATGTGGGCTCTAATTTGAAGGCCCAAGCCCTAATGATTTTTCGGGCCAGCCCATATGGGCTAGCCCATTTTGACAGCTCTAATATGGAAAATCACTTCCCGGTTGAGGAAATTAACACATCATGTTATATTCAGAACATGACTTCTATTATATCCATTCTGAATAAGACTTCATATGAAGTGTGTAAGAACAGAAAATCCAATATTTCATATTTTCATCATTTTGGATGTGAATGCTTTATTCTGAACACTAAGCAAAATCTTAACAAATTTGATTCTAAAGCACATAAGTGTTCAATGTTAAGATACTTTGAACGCTCAAAAGGCTATAGAGTGTATAACACATAAACACGGATTATTGAAGAATTAATTCATATTATATTTGATGATAAGCTTGACCCTAAAAAGTCAAAGCTAGTTGAAAAGTTTGTAGATTTAGAAATCACTTATTCAGACTCTGAAGGTGAAGAAGCTCTTGCAAAAGAATCTGAGAAGAAGGATTCTGGTGACGCTCAACCAGAAACTATTGAAGCTCAGAAAGGAAGTATAGACAAAGATCTTCACATTCTAAAGAATTTATTTTGGGTGACAAGACTAAACCAGTCAGAACCAAATCCTCATTCAAACCTTCTGAAGAGACGCTTCTGGTTTTGGTATCTCTCATAGAACCTACATCTATTGATGAAGCGCTTTTGGACACATAATGGATTCTGGAAATGCAAGAAGACCCCAGTCAATTTTTCAGGAATGATGTGTGGGATCTTGTGTCTAGACCCAAAGGTACTCATGTTACTGGAATCAAGTGGGTCTTTAAAAACAAGCTCAATGAGAAATGAGAAGTGGTAAGAAACAAGGTTTGACTGGTTGTACAAGGTTATAGTCAACAAGAATGCATCGACTATACAGAAACCTTTCTACCAGTTGTCAAGTTAGAGTTTATTTGTCTCTTAATTTATTTTATTGTTAATCATGATATCATCTTATATCAGATGAATGTTAAGAGTGAATTTCTGAATGGTTATATTATTGAGGAAGTATACGTACACGAACCTCCTGGGTTTGAAAATTATAAAAATCCTAATTTTTTTTCAAACTTAAGAAATCATTGTATGGTCTGAAACAAGCTCCTAGAGCATGGTATGAAAGACTAAGAAATTTTCTTTGAAAATGATTTACCTGAGTAAAGGTGGATACTACCTTGTTCTGCAAAATATTCAAAAATGATATTCTAGTAGTTCAAATATATATTGATGATATTATATTTGGTTATGCTAATGCTACCTTGTGCAATGAGTTTACTAAGTCTATGCAGGTTGAGTTTGAGATGAGTCTGATGGGAGAACTCAAGTTATTTCTGGGTATCCAGATCAATCAAAGTTCAAAAGGGACACTTATCCATCAAAGCAAGTACACTAAAGAACTTCTGAAGAAGATTGACATGTCAGAATGCAAGACAACCAAGACTCTAATGCATCATACATGTATTCTGCTGAAGGATAAGGTAAGTAACAAGGTAGATCAAAAGTTGTATAGATGTATGATAGATTCTCTATTATATTTGACTGCTTCTAGCACTGATATTTTATTCAGTATTTGTTTATGTGTTCGCTTCCAATCAGAGCCTAGAGAAACTCGCTTAACAGATGTTAAGAGAATTGTTAGGTATCTGAAAGGCATTGCTAATCTTGATGTGTGTTATAAAAAATCAAGTGAATACAAGTTATTAGGCTATTGCGATGGTGATTATGTTGGAGATGGAATAGAGAGGAAAAGTACTTCTGAAAGTTGTTAGTTTCTGAGAGACAATTTGATCCCATGGTCCAACAAGAGGCAATCAACAATAGCGCCATCAACTGCAGAAGCTGAATACATTTCTGCTTTTGAATGTAGCACTCAGATGAAAACTCAGCTAGAAGACTTCCAAATATATAAGAGTAACATTCATATTCTTTATGATAATACTTCTTCTATATGTTTATTTAAGAATTCCATTTTACATTCTAGAGCTAAGCATATTGAGATTAAACATCACTTCATACGAGACTATATTCAGAAGGGAATTTTAAAGGTACTGACCATCAATGGGCTGATATCTTTACAAAATCCATTGCTGGAGATAGATTTGTTTTCATTCTGAAGCATTTGAAAATGATTTTATCCATAATGAAATCTCAAAATGTTTAACTTTCTAAAAGATAAAATGAGACTCTGAGATATTTTATTTTATTTTTGAGATGTGATGCTTCTGAAGAGTCAAGTTCTCATGTATTAGAAATGTCTTAGGTCGGAATTTTGTTTAAAATTGTTGTCCTCTGGAAACTGAAGAGTTTACTTCATTAATAGTTGTCAAGCACACGAAAAGTCTGTTGTTCAAAAAAGAACAATTGTCCTTTCTTGAAACACGTTAATCATTTGATCTGACACATTGGGAGAAGTTATTTATTGAGATTAGATTAAAAAAATTCTGCTTTACCCGTTCTCAGAATTTTTGTACTAGTCAAAATCTTTTTAATCAATGTAAAAATTTGTATTTAAAACCCACTCACTCTCATTTCACATACTTTGGCAAACGGTATCCCACACTTTCTCTCTTTTAAGCCCCAAAAGTTCTTCGCAAAATTTCAAAACCCTTTTCGGTTCTTGTTCCCAATGGCTCAATAATCTTCATCAACTGCTCAATAATAATAAGAAGCTTCTTTACAGCAAACTTCATATGCTCAACATTTGGTTTAAGGATCTTCATCGTTTCAACATCTCCTACTAGAAAGAGAAGGATTTTTTATCATCATTGTCTCATTCCTATCTCTCAGTTGATTGTTCTAAATAAGTTACAAGTGGATTTCGACAATCTCCAAGCAAATGGATATGACTTTACGGAAGAGTTGAAATTTCAAGGTTGGAGAACTTAACTTCGGTCATCTTAAAGGACTAGTAATAATGCAATTTAATACATAAGCAAGTGCTTATTTACACTCTACGAGGCATCGTTGCACCTTCGATGTAAATCCTATTAAGAGTGATCTGATGTGGACGAACTGATGTGGACGAACTTCCAAATATGGATTATTTCTCGCTCTCTGGTTTTGAAAAGCTTGTCTTATCAAGACACTGCAAAAAGATTCTTTTCTAGACTCTCAAACGTCTTTCTACCCATTCTGGATAGAATTAGACCTTTGTTCATCCCTACTATGTAATCACTTCTTTGTTTTCCTGCATTTAGAGTGAGTCAACCTGTTGAAGCTGCTTTTGTATCGTTTCATCCTTCTAAAGAAGTGCCTCCTTCTGGACAACTAACTCTATCTCTCGCTGAGACAACTTGCTTTGTCTTTCGTTTCTATCTATTTAAAAAAATGTTTTCATTTCAAATAAATTTAATAATTATATTTTATCAAAATAAATTCTTAACATAGTATATCTTAAATTTAATAAACTAATTAATAAGCACGCATCGGACGGTCTTAATATAATATCTTATTTGAGAAGCTCATATTTCGAAGACATTTTCATTTGATGAAAATGGATACTATCATTATGTGCTTCAATACCTTTTTTGGAAAATATGCAGGTAGTTGGTATGGAGATGCTTATGATGGATTTGGTGGTAGCTTGGGTGTTGGGGGTTGGTTACAACAGGTCCAGCTGTGTCTATGGTAATAGCCGGTGGGGGAGGTACATAAGATGGTTATGGAAGTGAATTTGCTGGATACGGTGGATACGCCAGAGCGAGGGCCCTATAGATGCGATCCTTCCCTGAGCTATGCAGCTCGTTATAGTCGAAGCTTTAGCAGAGGTTATGATCTTATTGGGTATGGTGAGAGTTACTAGGCTTTTGGTGGAGCCGGTTCCGGTGTTGTTGTTGCTGGCGCTACTGCGTATCAAAGTACAGTTATATTAAATTTACTAATGATCAAGGAGGCAAGATGGATTAGGAACATATATACTCACCACCATAAATCCCAATCAATAATGTAAATTTAAAATGTTGACTTATATTGTTATCTTATATATGGCTGTTTACTTGATTCCAAGCAAATATTTAAGGATTCAAATTATAACTACACTGACTTTAAAAAATCTGGGTGGTGAAAGTCTGTCTAACTTTAAAAGATTGAACAATACAGCAAAACTGTCACCCAGCTAATATATGAGAGATTATAAGATTAATTTCCTCATCCACGTGTGAAATTGTATATTGTCATATCATAAGATGAAGCACATTCCCAGTATTTTGGAGTATTCCGGGAAAGGGAACTTCAGTATAAGATAAGGAACACTTTTTTTGTCAAGTTCCATAACATGACATATTAACGAAAAGCTCTTACATTTAATCACTAACATGTACATAACTCAACTTAAGTTTAGCACCGTGACCTAGTCGATTGGCTCCGCGAGTAAGAAGACGATAACACCTGCACATGTCAAAAGAATTTTCTTGTATCAAAATTTTAACGTTTTTCTTCCGTATATATAGTTGCTGGGAACTATCAAATAAACCGCTACAGAGTGAAGAGTAAAATCTCATCGCACCTGGTATGTCTTTGGTCCTTTTTTAAGTATGTAACCAACGCTGTTTAAATTATCGATGAAAGTATCCACATCAGGTACTTTCAAGGAAATCCTATCTGCCAGACTGTACATTTCCTGAAAAGTAAACAACACATCCATTTTTTTATCTGAGGACATAAACCATTGACAGAATGCAGGGAAAAAAATAGAAAGCACGTACAGATACTGAAAATAAATCTTTCTGTTCCAGCTCCGATTGCTTATTAAGGGCATTTAGAAAACGTTTTGCTTCTTTCTGTTGACTCATCCCCCCACTTCGACCAAAATCCACAACACCGTGTTCGTCAACATATTTGTCATACAGGGATTCCTTCATGATTTCAACAGCATCCTGCACGATTATGACGATGTCATTACAGGAAGGACTCAAGGAATTGATGACAAGAAAAAACTTGGATGTTACTTAAATTTTATTGCCAGAAGACAATTTAGTTGTTGACATACTCCACCATCGGTATTCAAAATTCTATAAAACTAGTGTTACATGACTTTAAAGTATTAGTAGAGGCTGGAAATAGTTTTGGGCATGTTCCACGTTGTATTAAAGCCTTACTTATGAACGAAATACATTGATTTCCTAGTTTTAAAAAAAAGCTGGAAATATTTCTGACCTACTAAAAGTATTTTCACGTCATCTCTTCGCAAGGGTTATTGATTTTATAAGAGCTTTTCATCTATTATGAATGGCGGTATTATGCTTCAAGTTGGCCTTCACGAGTTTTTTATTGAAGTTGAAGAACCGGAAGATGATTAATGCTGTTAAAATTATTCAGGTCAAACTAAAAAGTAATACTAACCATTGCATCCTGTGTAGTTATTTCTACTCTCAAGTCCAGCCGAGCACGAGCTTCAGCTAGCCTTACTAGACTTTCCAATTGCCTTGCTGTTATAGGAGTACCATCAGCCGAAACGTTATGATCTCTAAGTTTTAGATAAAACTTTTGTATGATGTCTGCTGCTGGCTTGGACATCCTTATTAAGAGAAATCAGAAAAGAGGCAGAAAATAAATACTGTGAAATTTCTTGAGGGAAATACTTAGACCAGAGTCAAAAGGTAGATGGGATACTGAACCACCTAGGAAAGACAAAACTTCTTGCATAAGCAATGTATTTGCGAAGAAGTTGACCGGGTAAAGGAACAAAATCATTGTCTCTTCGTCTGTCAAGTTTCAACTTTGAAATTAAAGAACCAGATCTAGCACCCAAATCTACCCCTTCAACATTCTGTGATGCAGAAGCTCTTGAATCAGAAGGTGGATCTGGTCAAGAAGTATATATTCCATTAGTGAATCTTGAATTGCCAAAATGCAGGACGCTCTAGTATAGCCAATCTAAAATATAATGTACGAGGGAGAGATAACCTCCACGTCGCTTTTTAGATGCCTGTGAGTGTTGGCCGCACCCAGTATGAAGCTGTGAGATACATTTGAAACATCAATCTATAGTATTGAGTACCAACAGAACCGTATAGAAACATAGCATAGGATCAAATGAAAAATAATAAACCAAGAACATTGGTTTGGTAGAAATGTGAAAACATTCAGTTTTTGTTTACTGTGAGAAAAGATATTGTCCTACTGCATAAACACCCAAATATAACATGCAGATAACACGATATAATTGCATCTAAGCCATTTGGCAAACTTCTTTCCTTTTCAATATTCATAACTCTTCCCGCTTTTTCTATTGGTCTGTGTGCGTTTATCATGTTGTATCTTTAATACATCATAAGTTCAAACCTATTTACCAACTTAAGTTCTTTACTTAAGAAGAAGAGTAGCTTCGAGATCAAGTAATCCAAGACAAAAAAAGAAAGGATTAACCTAGAATAATTATGCAGAAATGAACATTAGCAACAGTTATAATTCATGTCCTTGACACAAGCAGATACGTTTGTTGTGTTAACTGTTAAAGAGACTACAGTTAGGAAATAGCATCATCTAACAACTGGAAATTTCAAACCAATAATGAAAACTAAGTACTACACTTAAGCATCATTACTATAGTTGTTATTTGTTCAAATGTCAGGATGAGAAGCCAATATTCCATTCCCATCAACCATGAATAAGATATGAATGTCGTGTAGTTTATGTACAAAAGTGAACACCAACACAAAGTAAAAAGACAGTAAAACTTACTGACATAATGTGCTCCGAGACTCGTTTGTCCAAAAGTTCATCAGGCTTGTCCAGCAATATGAAAATTAAATCAAAACGGGACAATAGTGCAGCACTCATTTTTAAATTTTCATTTACAGTTTTTGCCCGGCTGCGATTTTCATTTAAAGAAATTGTCAGGAGAAATTATTTGCTGCTTGGTTACATGACTAGCATTACGTGAAGGGAATGTTTGGAGTGGTGGTATATGATGGAATGGAGTGGAATTGAAATAGTCTAGTTATATGTTAAAAAATTGATGTTAGATCACTCAATTCCATTCCACAACAACAACAACCAATCCTTATCTCATTAAGTAGATACTCATTCCATTCCGTTCCATTCCACAATTTTATTATACCACCAATTAAAGGAGAAAATTGAAATAAAGGATATAAATGAACTTATATAACTTACTGCAACATATACATGGATAAATATGAGATAGATTATTAAAAATAAAAACAGAACACGGAAAATTGAGGGGATAATGAAGATTAAAAATGTTACTTATAATGACCACCAACGGGATTTGCAGCGGCTAAAACAGAAGTCCGGGATGATAAACTTGCTACCAATCCCGCCTTTGCAATAGAGACACATTGTTGCTCCATTGCCTCCAGTAAAGCCTGTATTGTAACGAATTTGAAATAAGGCTTCAGTTAAGATATATTCAAATAACCAGAAATTGATCAATGGTTACCAGAGAACAAACCTGATGCTCTGAAGACATTTTATCAAACTCGTCAATACAGCACAATCCACTGTCAGCCAGCACCATAGCACCTACCAGGAATCGCAACAATTATTCACAGAAAATTCAAATAATTTTTGCAAACGATCACAGCAAAATCAGTTAGGCCCGATCATATCCTTATTGATAGCATATAAAAAAATAACATTTTCCCCCTCTTCTCCACTTTATCCAAAAGTCATTATGTCAGAACTATCCAAGATAAACTAACAAAAATCTGCAGAGCTTAAGGAAATAGAGAAAAGCACTAGAAAACTATATCATCATTCAGCCCACTGCCAAGGAAGCAACCCATACAACTTTGCCACAAAAGAACTACAGATAACTTAGCTCCCTGACTTATTAATATACACTTTAAATTCCACATTTATCATACAGAAACAAAGATTTCAACATATCGAACACAGAAGAACAACTTGAAGAAATAAACAATAAAAGGAACACGAAAAACACAATTCAAAGACATATTCTATGAAGAGTAGGGTCAATTATGACCAGTGACTAGTAATCCACTAATTCTGGAAATAGTGCTGTACACATTGAATCATGAGTTCACAATTTCAATGAGTGCAACATAAAAATAATTTAAATCATATACCTGCCTCAAAAGCATAGTCATTTGTCATAGGATCCTTCACTACAGCTACTGTGAGGCCAGCTTTGGTTGTTGCGTTACCACAGACATAGATACCACGTGGAGAAACAGCTGCTGCTGCTTGTAACAACTGGCTCTTACCTAGACCAGGGTCGCCTAGAAAATTGAAATTGCAACACAACCAGTTAGTAAATTTTTATTCTGTCTCCATTTTGAAAACTTCTAAATGAAGAAAGCATCTTTGATACAAATAAATCTACTTCTCCATAAGGAAAACATTTCTGAAGGTTTGATTCCATTCAAAATTGCAAAGATAACATATAGCATACCTACAATCATGACATGAATATCTCCCCTCACAGGTACCTTATTCTGATCCATAGAATGCCTTCGTACACCACCAAATAATGCAAGAGTTATCCCAGCTGTCAAATAAACAGCAAACTATTATTTGATTTTCCCCTCGACTGCCAATTTTGGAGCATAAGCCCCATTATGACATTGAAGTATCAGAAAAGCTCGAGTCACATTCTTAACAAACAATTGCTAACAATCCACGTGTCAATCATGAGATTAATAAGTCGTGAAAGTGAACAAAATTATGACTGGCTAGTGAGGTTATGAACTTTTCAACGGAACTAGGAAGGTTATATTACTAACAATTACAGAAGACATAAGAAACATGTCACCAGACAAGCAACTAAAAGGGTGGACAAGGGCATGAAACTTCAGTCACTGCGGGATCTAAAAAAAT